TACACCTGTGTCTCACAGACTTCATTCATCAGATCTGGGGTACAATTACACCTGTGTCTCACTCACTAAACATTGTCTTACCATGCTCTTGGACTGAATATATATACACACACACACTATTCTAATGAACATTCACTAAGTCCCACACCTGTCTGTGCATCCACACTGGCCACTTCAACATTTTCATCACTGTGTATATTTACTTCCCACATGTGAGCATCACGTATCTCAGGATGCTCAGACCCCCCCCCCCCTCCCTTTCCCCCCCTCTGGTACTCAGACAATGCACTTCCTTACCCCACCACCAAATAACAACAAAGCAGATATTTTAATGAGGGAAAAAATGAATATATTGTAAAACATTTTATGATTGTTGCTCCGTGACAATTTAGGACAGCAGTTAGAAAAAAAATTGTCCATGACCCTACCCTCCCCCTCCCTTTGGGTTCGGGGACCCCATTACCAGTGGAAAAAAACAGCCCCACTGCCTAGATAACAAGCATGACCTAAAAGTCTACTAATTAGGGGTTTTCATTCAAAGTGGGAGTGCATCTGCCTGAGAGTCAAGGAACCAACTTTCTGCATACAAATAAGCCAGATCTGTAAAACAGATGTGCAGTTATAGAACAAAACTAAAGTCCAAAAGTGGATGAACACCCAAAACTATTTTGCTGGAGTTTACACTCAGTGAATGCAAAGAAGAAGACTGTCCATGTATATCTTTCTGTCCATGTATATCTTTCTGTCCATGAATATCTTTCTGTCCATGTATATCTTTCTGTCCACGTATATTTTTGTTCTTTGCCCTTCCTCTGTGCCCTCTATTGTTGTTGCCCTTCCTCTGTGCCCTCTATTGTTGTTGCCCTTCCTCTGTGCCCTCTATTGTTGTTGCCCTTCCTCTGTGCCCTCTATTGTTGTTGCCCTTCCTCTGTGCCCTCTATTGTTGTTGCCCTTCCTCTGTGCCCTCTATTGTTGTTGCCCTTCCTCTGTGCCCTCTATTGTTGTTGCCCTTCCTCTGTGCCCTCTATTGTTGTTGCCCTTCCTCTGTGCCCTCTATTGTTGTTACCCTTCCTCTGTGCCCTCTATTGTTGTTGCCCTTCCTCTGTGCCCTCAATTGTTGTTGCCCTTCCTCTGTGCCCTCTATTGTTGTTGCCCTTCCTCTGTGCCCTCTATTGTTGTTGCCCTTCCTCTGTGCCCTCTATTGTTGTTGCCCTTCCTCTGTGCCCTCTATTGTTGTTGCCCTTCCTCTATGCCCTCTATTGTTGTTACCAGCTGTTGTAGTTTTATGTGACTGCAAACACTGGCACTAGTTTTCTGGAGACCTCAGTATGATGCCCCGTCGTCCATGTTTACCAGCGTCCGTGTTTACCAGGGTCCATGTTTACCAGGGTCCATGTTTACCAGGGTCCATGTTTACCAGGGTCCATGTTTACCAGGGTCCATGTTTACCAGGGTCCATGTTTACCAGGGTCCATGTTTACCAGGGTCCATGTTTACCAGGGTCCATGTTTACCAGGGTCCGTGTTTACCAGGGTCCGTGTTTACCAGGGTCCATGTTTACCAGGGTCCATGTTTACCAGGGTCCATGTTTACCAGGGTCCATGTTTACCAGGGTCCATGTTTACCAGGGTCCATGTTTACCAGGGTCCATGTTTACCAGGGTCCGTGTTTACCAGGGTCCATGTTTACCAGGGTCCATGTTTACCAGGGTCCGTGTTTACCAGGGTCCATGTTTACCAGGGTCCGTGTTTACCAGGGTCCATGTTTACCAGGGTCCATGTTTACCAGGGTCCATGTTTACCAGGTTCCATGTTTACCAGGGTCCATGTTTACCAGGGTCCATGTTTACCAGGGTCCGTGTTTACCAGGGTCCATGTTTACCAGGGTCCATGTTTACCAGGGTCCGTGTTTACCAGGGTCCGTGTTTACCAGGGTCCGTGTTTACCAGGGTCCGTGTTTACCAGGGTCCATGTTTACCAGGGTTCATGTTTACCAGGGTCCATGTTTCCACATCAGACAGCAGTCTAATAGTTGATGTGGTAGTTGATGTCCATCTAATAGTTGATGTGGTAGTTGATGTCCATCTAATAGTTGATGTGGTAGTTGATGTGGTAGTTGATGTCCATCTAATAGTTGATGTGCATCCAGTAGCTGATGTGCACCGGGTAGTTGATGTGTACACGGGAGTTGATATCAACTAAATAGATGCCGCTGATTGATGTATATTAAAAACATGAACTCCTTTTAGCCACCACACAAACCCTGACAACTGGAAAATTGTCAAAACATGTACTCTAAGACAAGAAACAAAACAAACATTTATCATCAGAAATGTACCAGTTATCTCTCCTATAAAGATGCCAGCTTCATATTTTAATAGGAGGGGAAAGAGCTTCAAGTTGTGCACTCTGTGATTCCCAGTCAAGTTGTGCAGCCTGTGATTCCCAGTCAAGTTGTGCAGCCTGTGATTCCCAGTCAAGTTGTGCACTCTGTGATTCCCAGTCAAGTTGTGCAGCCTGTGATTCCCAGTCAAGTTGTGCACCCTGTGATTCCCAGTCAAGTTGTGCAGCCTGTGATTCCCAGTCAAGTTGTGCAGCCTGTGATTCCCAGTCATCACGTCAGGTGTTCTCAGACTGGTCTCATTTGGTCAAGAGCACACTGAACAAACCTGTCTCTCCCACTGACCGCTTGCCCCGTGTACTTGGGCTCAACGAAAGTGCTTAATCATGCTATTTTTTCTAAAAATTCTGTATGTCTTGACACAATGACAAGTCTTGTTGAGCCTGATATCTCCAGCCAAGACTGCATGTGATGGCAAGTGTTCAGATTTACAAAAATGATCAGAGTAAACACAGAAACATATGCAACCAAATTACTAAAATCATAAATTATGAAAAGATATAAATTATACACATATACTGGAATAATTCATCTGAATCACCCACAAATAAAATAATTTATAATTATATAGAACTAGAAATGTCAGCAGTATGTCACAATGTGCACATATCTTGTACAGTATGTTGGAGCTTTATAATATAATTACATATCTTGTACAGTATGTTGGAGCCTTTATAATATAATTACATATCTTGTACAGTATGTTAGAGCTACGTAAAATAATTATATATCTTGTGCAATATGTTGGAGCCATGAACAATAATTACATAGCTTGTACAATATGTTGGAGTCATGAACAATAATTACATATCTTGTACAGTATGTTGGATCCATGTAAAATAATTACATATCTTGTACAGTATGTTGGAGCCATGTACAATAATTACATGTCTTGTACAGTATGTTGGAGCCATGTACAATAATTATATATCTTGTACAGTATGTTGGAGCCATGTACAATAATTACATATCTTATACAGTATGTTGGAGCCATGTACAATAATTACATATCTTGTACAGTATGTTGGAGCCATGTACAATAATTACATATCTTGTACAGTATGTTGGAGCCATGTACAATAATTACATATCTTATACAGTATGTTGGAGTCATGTACAATAATTACATATCTTGTACAGTATGTTGGAGCCATGTACAACTATTACATATCTTGTACAGTAATTACATATCTTGTACAGTATGTGGGAGCTACGTAAAGTAATCACATAGCTTGTGCAATATGTCTAGGAGTGCATGGTTGGTGCAGTCCTCGTGGACTGTGAACACAGGATTTTTTTCTTCCTTCAAAAAACAAACAAACCCTGAGCCTTGCCAAGGATTCAAACCTGGGTCTGCAAGATGAGAGCCAAGCTGGTACAAACCTGAGTCTGCAAGATGAGAGCCAAGCTGGTACAAACATGGGTCTGCAAGATGAGAGCCAAGCTGGTACAAACATGTGTCTGCAAGATGAGAGCCAAGCTGGTACAAACATAGGTCTGCAAGATGAGAGCCAAGCTGGTACAACCATGTGGGAGATCAAATCCAATGTGGGGAAATTAGGTGTGCAGTAAGTGTTGAAATGTGCTACAGTACGTGAGGGAATGTTCTGCAATAGGTGAGGGAATGTTCTGCGATAGGTGAGGGGATGTTCTGCAATAGGTGAGGGGATGTTCTGCAATAGGTGAGGGGATGTTCTGCAACAGGTGAGGGGATGTTCTGCAATAGGTGAGGGGATGTTCTGCAATAGGTGAGGGAATGTTCTGAGATAGGTGAGGGGATGTTCTGCGATAGGTGAGGGGATGTTCTGCGATAGGTGAGGGAATGTTCTGAGATAAGTGAGGGAATGTTCTGCGATAGGTGAGGGGATGTTCTGAGATGGGTGAGGGGATATTCTGCAATAGGTGAGGGAATGTTCTGCGATAGGTGAGGGGATGTTCTGTGATAGGTGAGGGGATGTTCTGCGATAGGTGAGGGGATGTTCTGCGATAGGTGAGGGAATGTTCTGTGATAGGTGAGGGAATGTTCTGCGGTAGGTGAGGGGATGTTCTGCAACAGGTGAGGGGGATGTTCTGCAATAGGTGAGGGAAAGTTCTGAGATAGGTGAGGGGATGTTCTGCAATAGGTGAGGGAATGTTCTGAGATAGGTGAGGGGATAGGTGAGGGAATGTTCTGAGATAGGTGAGGGGTTGTTCTGCGATAGGTGAGAGGATGTTCTGCGATAGGTGAGGGGATGTTCTGCGATAGGTGAGGGGATGTTCTGCGATATGTGAAGGGGATGTTCTGCAATAGGTGAGGGGATGTTCTGCGATAAATCTTGCACAGGTAAGAGCCAAAAGTGTGAGGGATCTTGTGGGAGAAAGGAGGCAGGTGTCTAGTGCTGAATGTGCAGAGCTGGTGTAAAGGAAGTGTAGAATATATGCAAACATGCAATAATAATAACTGCACCTTGAGATAAAACTATGGAACAACATTAAATACATACACATACGTTGTTAAAAATTCTCATTAAAAAAACCTGGAGCATCTGGTCTCTGGTAAGCCCATTCAGCAGCATATCTTCCACCAAGTCTGTGCATTTCCAACATATGCTCGGATGTTGTTACGTATAAACATTTCTCCTGTCCGTGGCATTGATCAAAACTTCTGTTTCAGCACTGATGGAGTTCATGGACTCTTCAATCCCATCATCATTAACTGATCCATCTCCTCCGATTGCCCGGGGGTATTCCTGAATAGAATGAAAAAAATCAACATCAGTAAATAAACAAGTGTCGTGACAACAAAGATTTGACGATCTAACTGACAACATATATTACTTATTGTATAGTCTCTGTGCGAGTCACAGTGGTGTTGTGGCACAATATTCACCTGCGGACTGGAAGGTCATTGGCTCCCATGTTGACCCAGCCTTGAGTGGGTAAGAGGTGCAGTCCTGGAAAGTAAAGGTGGCCAGCGCGATGCTGACTACATTTCCCACCATGTGCCGATTGGTCTATAAAATATAGGTCTAGCCATACATACGCAGCACGCCTAAAGGTGTGGAGAAAGGTTCTTTTCTACAGTCTGTGTGTGTGTGTGCATGCATGTGTGTGTGTGCATGCCTGTGTGTGTGTGTGCGTGTGCATGCGTGTGTGCGTGCGTGCATGTGTGTGCATGCGTGTGCGTGCGCGCAGTATAATGTTGTCTCTCCGTGGGGACTGTATGGCTGAATCCCTGCATGTGTTCTCTCTGTCTGACTGTTCACACCGACCATGGTCTGCTCTCAGCTTCATCTTTAGCTCCATACAGCTCCGAGTTAAGAGCTGATTTAGTGGGCCAGTACATCTTACTGAGGTTTGTTTCAGTTTTTTAATGAATGTGATTGTTTCTGAATTTTGTGAGGACTAACTGTTTGTTCACCAGTTTTCAAACGGTCAAACAGAACAGTGGCGAGAATGTTCAGTGATTTTTCAGACACATGTACAGTGTGATGATGGAGGTGATCCCTTAACAGTGAAGCCATACCACAACCGTCACCACAACCACCATCACCACAACAACCACCAAAACCACTATCACCACAACCACCATCACCACAACCACCACCAAAACCACTATCACCACCAAAACCACTATCACCACAACCACCACCACCCCACCACCTAAACCACACAACCACATCACCACAACCACATCCACCACCACAAACCACAAATCACCACAACACTACCACCACCAACCACCATCACCACAACCACCACCACAACCACTACCATCACCACAACCACTACCATGACCATCACCACAACCACTATCACCACAACCACCAACACCACACCCATCGTGACAACCGCCATCACCAAAACCACCACAACCACCAACACCACAACACTATCACCACAACAACTATCACCACAACCACCAACACTACAACCATCGTGACAAACGCAACCACCAACACCACAACCACTATCACCACAACCACTAACACCACAAACCACAACAAACACCACACCCATCAACACAACCACCACAACCACAAACCACCACAAACCACTAACACCACCACCAAAAAACACACCACAACACCACAACAAACCACACAACCACAACCACTAACACACACCACAACCACCACAACCACAACAAACAACCACCAACCACCAACACCACCACCACACCACTACAACAACCACAACCACCATCACCACACAACCACTAACCCCACAACCACTGACCATACAACACCACCAACAACCAAACACCACAACCACCACCACCCACTAACCACCATCAACCCCCACAAACAGCACCACAAAACCCACAACCAATTACCACCAAAACCACCAACACACCAACACAACACTAACACAAAACCACAACCACCAACCAACCACCAAACACCAAACACCACCACAACAAACAACACATCACACCCACCACCCAACAACCCCAAACCAAAAACACCACCACCACCACAACCACAACAACACCACAACCCAACCACCACAACCACACAACACCACACCACACCAACCACCCACTCACAACCAAACCACCACCACAACCACAACAACCAACAACACACCACCACAACCACTAACACACCACAACCACACACCACAACATCACCACAAAACACAAACAACACACCACAACACTTACACCACCACAACACTACACCCCAACCCCACAACACAACCACTTAACAACAAACAACCAACAACCACTTAACACCAAACAACCACCACCCACAAAAACCAACACCAACCACCACAAACACCCACCACACCAAACCCAAAAACACCACAACCAAAAACCAATACCACACCCAACACACCACAAAAACCACTTACACCACCACCAACACACAACCACTACAACCAAAAACAACCACACCACACAAAAAAATACAAACACAACCACATACCACCCAACACCACACAAACAAACCACCACAACCACACAAAAACAACCATAACACCACCAAACCACCACCAACAACCACAACACCACAACCACTATCACACCACACCACAACCAAACCAACACACCACCACCACAAAACCACCAAACACAAAACAACCACTACACCACACAACTCTTACACCACACAAACAAAAACACTTACACAAACCAAACCACTTACACCACCACAACCACTTACACCACCACAACCACTTACACCACCACAACCACTTACACCACCACAACCACTTACACCACCACAACCACTTACACCACCACAACCACACAAAACCACACACCACACTTACACACCAACAACACACACAAACAACCACACCACACCAAAACTACACAACCAAACACACCAACTAACACGACACAACAACCAACCATCACCAAACAAACACAAACACCACTCACAAACACAAAACACAACCCACCACACCAAACACCACAACCAACACTAACACCACAACCATACACCAAACAACCACAAAACACACGACCACACATACACCACCCGACACAACCACCATCACCACAACACTAACCACACACCACACAACCACTAACACCACACCACAACAACACAACCACTAACCACCACAACCACTAACAACACACCACCACCACCACAAAAACACACAACCACTAACACCACGACAACAACACAACCATACACCACAACCACTAACCACAACCCACAACAACCACCCCAACACAACCACCACTTACACCACCACCACTAACAAAAACCACACACTAACACACACCACCACAGCCACTACAACAAACCACCACAAACACCAACACCACCGACACACAACCACAACACTCACAACCACAACCACTAACACACCACCACAACCACTAGCACCACACCACTACCACCACCAACACCACTGCTGTTTGGAAGAAAAGAAATCACAACCACTAACAACCACAACCAAAGCATAAACAGACAGATCTGAAGTGTTACCTGAACAAAAAGAATAGACACACTTATGACACACTATGAATGATTACAGCAAAGATGTATCAAACTGCACTGCATTGTGAATGATAAAAGCACAGTCAGACAGATTTGTGGTGCTTTGTGAATGATGCACTGTGAATGATAAAAGACAACAGCAACAAGGCTACAGAGGTTAATCACCTGTAAATCTGGGTCCCTAGAGCACCAGGGCATACAGGGCACATCCATCAGCTGGTTGTACAAGGCTGTCCCAATCAACAAGAAGACAAATCCATCCACTGGAGACAAACAGGTAGGAGATTATATTAGTTCTTCTTATTGTTACTGTCTTCCGGGAGATGAATGTTCTTATGAGCTGAGGTGTGCAGTGCTCATGTTGAGTCCACTCTCTGTCCAGCAGATATTTATGAGCTGAGGTGTGCGGTGCTCATGTTGAGTCCACTCTCTGTCCAGCAGATATTTGTAGCCGAGGTGTTCAGTGCTCATGTTGAGTCCACTCACTGTCCATAAAGTCATGTGACCTGCTAGTCCTGTAGCTACAGTGTCCATTCCACATAATCTTGACATTCCACATAACCTTGACATTCCACATAACCTTGACATTCCACATAACCTTGACATTCCACATAACCTTGACATTCCTTCAAAGTTAGACTGCATTTGCCTGAGAGACAAGAAACCCAAAGTCTGCATACAAAAAAGCAAAATCTGTCAAATGAATGTGCCTGCAACACTCAGGTTCTGCAACAAGACAACAGTCCAGAAGTGTTCACAGCTGGTGAATGTGAAGAAGATATCTTGATATGGTCAGTTCCAATTTCATCAGTAATACTTCACACATTATGCAGTAAACCTTACATATGACAGAGAGTAATTGTTACACAAAACATTTGGCACACCTCCTAAGCAATAAGTGGTAAACCTCTCAACATAAATACAATGTAAACCTAAAACATAAATACAAGGTAAACCTCCAACATAAATACACAGCAAACCTCCAACATAAATACACAGTAAATCTCCAACATAAATACACAACAAACCTCTAACATAAATACACAGTGAATCACCAACATAAATACACAGTAAACCTCCAACATAAATACACAACAAACCTCTAAAATAAATACACAACAAACCTCTAACATAAATACACAGTGAATCACCAACATAAATACACAGTGAATCACCAACATAAATACACAACAAACCTCCAACATAAATACACAACAAACCTCTAACATAAATACACAGTGAATCATCAACATAAATACACAGTAAACCTCAAACATAAATACACAGTGAATCACCAACAAAAATACACAGTGAATCACCAACATAAATACACAGTAAATCACCAACATAAATACACAGTAAATCACCAACATAAATACACAGTGAATGACCAACATAAACACACAGTAAATCACCAACATAAATACACAGTAAATCACCAACATAAATACACAGCAAACCTCAAACAAAGAACTTGTAAACCTTACAGAAATAATGTGCTGAAACCTTATACATACCTTGCAACAAACCCCAACTTTTGTCAAATGGTTCACCAAAATCCTGCAGGTGAGAGAAACACAAGAAAATGTCTGAATGAAATACAAGTAGCAACAATAATCTGATGCCTGCCCACCTGCCCACCTGCCAACCTGGCCATCTCTGCTTCTCCTATACTTTACTAGGATGTGGAGAAACACAGTCACTGTGTATCTACATGCACCTTCTCCGCTCATGACCTATGTGAGTGTGTCTACATGCATCTTCTCCTCAACACATGACCTATGTGAGTGTGTCTACGTGCACCTTCTCCGCTCATGACCTATGTGAGTGTGTCTACATGCACCTTCTCTGCTCATGACCAATGTGAGTGTGTCTACATGCACCTTCAACTCAACACATGACCTATGTGAGTGTGTATACATGCACCTTCTCCTCAACTCATGACCTATGTGAGTGTGTCTACATGCATGTTCTCCTCAACTCATGACCTATGTAAATGTGTCTACATGCTCCTTTTCCGCTCATGACCTATGTGAGTGTGTCTACAATGTCTACATGCATCTTCTCCGCTCATGACCTATGTGAGTGTGTCTACATGCACCTTCTCCGCTCATGACCTTTGTGAGTGTGTCTACATGCCTCTTCTCCGCTCATGACCTACGTGAGTGTGTCTACATGCACATTTTCCGCTCATGACCTATGTGAGTGTGTCTACATGCACCTTCTCCGCTCATGAGATATGTGAGTGTGTCTACATGCATCTTCTCCTCAACTCATGACCTATGTGAGTGTGTCTACATGCACCTTCTCCGCTCATGACCTATGTGAGTGTGTCTACATGCATCTTCTCCTCAACACATGACCTATGTGAGTGTGTCTACATGCATGTTCTCCTCCGCTCATGACCTATGTGAGTGTGTCTACATGCACCTTCTCCTCAACTCATGACCTATGTGAGTGTGTCTACATGCACCTTCTCCTCAACTCATGACCTATGTGAGTGTGTCTACATGCATCTTCTCCGCTCATGACCTATGTGAGTGTGTCTACATGCACCTTCTCCGCTCATGACCTATGTGAGTGTGTCTACATGCACCTTCTCCGCTCATGACCTATGTGAGTGTGTCTACATGCACCTTCTCCTCAACACATGACCTATGTGAGTGTGTCTACATGCACCTTCTCCGCTCATGACCTATGTGAGTGTGTCTACATGCACCTTCTCTGCTCATGACCTATGTGAGTGTGTCTACATGCACCTTCTCTGCTCATGACCTATGTGAGTGCGTCTACATGCACCTTCTCCTCAACACATGACCTATGTGAGTGTGTCTACATGCACCTTTTCCTCAACTCATGACCTATGTGAGTGTGTCTACATGCATGTTCTCCTCAAATCATGACCTATGTGAGTGTGTCTACATGCATGTTCTCCTCAACTCATGACCTATGTGAGTGTGTCTACATGCACCTTCTCCTCAACTCATGACCCATGTGAGTGTGTCTACATGCAATTTCAGGAAATTTGACAAAAACTGATCTGGAGACACATGGGGGGAAGGGCAGGGGAAGGAGGGTGGGGGGAGGGATGTCTGCCATGTTAACCACTTGATTCAGGATCTGTGTTACTTCCTAAATATTAAGTTTCCCAAACTGATCATGTGCATCTACAAGAACTGACATGCGTTCATTATGTGTCTGTACAAGGACTGACATGCGTACATTATGTATCCATACAAGAACTGACATGTGTACATTATGTATCTGTACAAGAACTGACAAGCGTACATTAGGTATCTGTACAAGGACTGACATGCATACATTATGTATCTGTACATGGACTGACATGCGTACATTATGTGTCTGTACAAGGACTGACATGTGTACATTATGTGTCTGTACATGGACCGACATGTGTACATTATGTGTCTGTACATGGACCGACATGTGTACATTATGTGTCTGTACAAGGACCGACATGTGTACATTATGTATCTGTACATGGACCGACATGCGTACATTGTGTATCCATACAAGAACTGACATGTGTACATTATGTATCTGTACAAGAGGTGAAAAGTGTACATTATGTATTTGTACAAGGACTGACATGCATACATTATGTATCTGTACAAGGACTGACATGCATACATTATGTATCTGTACAAGAACTGACATGCGTTCATTATGTGTCTGTACAAGGACTGACATGTGTACATTATGTATCCATACAAGAACTGACATGTGTATATTATGTATCTGTACAAGAACTGACAAGCGTACATTAGGTATCTGTACAAGGACTGACATGCATACATTATGTATCTGTACAAGAACTGACATGCGTTCATTATGTGTCTGTACAAGGACTGACATGCGTACATTATGTATCCATACAAGAACTGACATGTGTATATTATGTATCTGTACAAGAACTGACAAGCGTACATTAGGTATCTGTACAAGGACTGACATGCATACAATATGTATCTGTACATGGACTGACATGCGTACATTATGTGTCTGTACAAGGACTGACATGTGTACATTATGTATCTGTACATGGACCGACATGCGTACATTATGTATCCATACAAGAACTGACATGTGTACATTATGTATCTGTACAAGAGGTGACAAGTGTACATTATGTATTTGTACAAGGATTGACATGCATACATTATGTATCTGTACAAGGACCGACATGAGTACATTATGTATCAGTACAAGGACTGACATGCATACATTATGTATCTGTACAAGGACTGACATGCATACATTATGTATCAGTACAAGGACTGACATGCATACATTATGTATCTGTACAAGGACTGACATGCATACATTATGTATCTGTAAAAGGACTGACATGTGTACATTATGTATCTGTACAAGGACTGACATGTATACATTATGTGTCTGTACAAGGACTGGCATGCGTACATTATGTATCTGTACAAGGACTGACATGAATACATTATGTATCTGTACAAGGACTGACATGCATACATTATGTATCTGTACAAGGACTGACATGTGTACATTATGTGTCTGTACAAGGACTGACATGCATACATTATGTATCTGTACAAGGACTGACATGCATACATTATGTGTCTGTACAAGGACTGACATGCATACATTATGTATCTGTACAAGGACTGACATGCGTACATTATGTATCTGTACAAGGACTGACATGCATACATTATGTGTCTGTACAAGGACTGAATTGCACACATTATGTTTCTGTATAAGATCTGACATGCGTACATTATGTATCTGTACATGGACCGACATGCATACATTATGTATCTGTACAAGGACTGACATGTGTACATTATGTATCTGTACATGGACCGACATGCATACATTATGTATCTGTACAAGGACTGACATGCATACATTATGTATCTGTACAAGGACTGACATGCATACATTATGTATCTGTACAAGAACTGACATGTGTACATTATGTATCTGTACAAGGACTGACATGTGTACATTATGTATCTGTACAAGGACTGATATGCATACATTATGTATCTGTACAAGGACTGACATGCATACATTATGAGTCTGTACAAGGACTGACATGTGTACATTATGTATCTGTACAAGGACTGACATGCATACATTATGTATCTGTACAAGGACTGACATGTATACATTATGTGTCTGTACAAGGACTGACATGTGTACATTATGTATTTGTACAAGGACTGACATGCATACATTATGTATCTGTACAAGGACTGACATGTGTACATTATGTATCTGTACAAGGACTGACATGTGTACATTATGTATCTGTACAAGGACTGACATGTGTACATTATGTGTCTGTACAGGACTGACATGCATACATTATGATGTATATGCCAATCTGTACAAGGACTGACATGTATACATTATGTGTCCTAACAAGACTGACATGTATACATTATCCTATCTGTACAAGAGATGAACATGCGTACATTATGTATCTGTACAGGTCTGACACGTATACATTATGTATCTGTAAGGACTGACCCACACATTATGCTCTGTCTGACGAAGAGGATCTGACATGTATACATTATGTCATCTGTACAAGAGATCTAGCATGTACACATTATTGTCCTGTACAGGACTGACGAAGAGTACATCTAAGCATCTGTACACACACTGCTGCATACATTAGTATCTGACAAAAGACTGAGCATACATTAAGCACCCACAACACTGACATGTGTACATCTCAGTATCTGACAAAGACTGATCAAGTATACATTTTGTGTCTGTACAAGGACTGACATGCGTACATCATGCCTATGTAAAATGACTCTAACAAGTCAGTCAGACACATACATAATTTCAAGTATTGCCAATGCATGAGAATATTAACTAACGCCCGGAGGATGGGGAAATCAAGAAAGACCTGCCACAGGGAAGTTTTTCCTGCAGTCTGACAAAGAGCATCTAAGCACCCACACACAGAAGCACATTGATACACACACATACACTCACACATTCATATACATGTGTACTCATGCACAAGCACCCAAACTCTCACACAGTTAGTGAATGAATTACATCTCACTCAGAAACAATCACAAACCTTGTCTGCCACGTAATATATAAACAGCGAAGCTAACCACACAATGATTGTCCGGCAGGCATCAATAAGAGTTCTGTGAACAGCTGACAAAGAAAAAGAAGAAAACACAATAGCAGTTTATATGGGTATAGCAAATAGTATATCATACACATACACGATACGAACGAACGAACGAACGAACAAACTTTATTTTCAAAGGGTTACAAATTAGGCACGCAGGCCTGTCTTACATTCGGCCCTTCCAAACTCCCATCTTTCACACAGCAGTTGTATTTCATTAATACAGCCTGTCAAAAACAAAAGCCTGGGTGGTAAAATATGTGCACACGCTCGCGGGCGAACACCCACAACCACATACACACCCAAACCCATTCACTCATACATACACACACATAGGCACCCAATACACACACAAGCACATCCACATACTTACAAACATGCACACACACACACACACATACATACACACATATACACATACATACATATATACATACATACACTCATACACACTGTCACCCACACAGACATGCGCTCTAAAACACACACACATACAACTCAGACACATATAGACACACACAGCTACACACACACACAAACACACATACATACACACAAGTAGCCGCAAAAAAGACCTATACAAACACACACGTCCGACGCACACAGACAAAAACCCACACATCAAGCAAATAGTACACCATACACATACAGGTACACACATCAAGCAAATAGTACACCTTACACATACAGGTATACACATCAAGCAAATAGTACACCAAACCCTTACAGGTATACACATCAAGCAAATAGTACACCATAAACATACAGGTATACACATCAAGCAAATGGTACACCATACACATACAGGTATTCACATCAAGCAAATGTACACCATACACATACAGGCATACATATCAAGCAAATAGTACACCATACACATACAGGTATACACATCAAGCAAATAGTACACCATACACATACAGGTATACACATCAAGCAAATAGTACACCATACACATACAGGTATTCACATCAAGCAAATAGTACACCATACACATACAGGTATACACATCAAGCAAATAGTACACCATACACATACAGGTATACACATCAAGCAAATAGTACACCATACACATACAGGTATACACATCAAGCAAATAGTACACCATACACATACAGGTATACACATCAAGAAATAGTACACCATACCCTTACAGGTATACACATCAAGCAAACAGTACACCATACACATACAGGTATACACATCAAGCAAACAGTACACCATACACATACAGGTATACACATCAAGCAAATGGTACATCATACACATACAGGCATACACATCAAGCAAACAGTACACCATACACATCAGGTATACACATCAAGAAATAGTACACCATACCCTTACAGGTATACACATCAAGAAATAGTACACCATACCCTTACAGGTATACACATCAAGAAATAGTACACCATACCCTTACAGGTATACACATCAAGCAAATGGTACACCATACACATACAGGTATACACATCAAGCAAATAGTACACCATACACATACAGGTATTCACATCAAGCAAATGGTACACCATACACATACACCAAATATCCTGATGCTAAACTTTTTTTAAACTCTTTTAACCTGGGTTGGCGGGGGGGGGGGGGGGGGGGGGACAGAGATAGAGATAGAGAGAGAGAGTGTGTGTGAGTGAGAGAGAGAGAGAGAGAGAGAGAGAGAGAGAGAGAGAGAGAGAGAGAGAGAGAGAGAGAGAGAGAGATAGGAAATAATCTTTCATGTGTCCCTTTTTTTGTGCTGTGTATGTATGTCTTCATTTATCTAAGTTTGTTTTTGATTACGTTCTTTCTTTTTCTGCAGCTGTCTTAGTCTGCTTTAAAACCATAGGAATAAAAGTTCACATAAAAGTATGTTGGTTATATCATGTCAACTAGTGTCATAAGCCACAACATGCCGAGGGAGATACTGAAATGTGGATCTGAGCACTTATGGACTGAATGGTCCGATGTGTGATGATGATAATCTGTCCATTAACTAACTAATTATATCGTGCTAACAGGCCTGGGCCATCATGCTTCTGCACAACAGCTGTTCTCTAGCAGAATGTATGCATGCATTTAGTGATACCTTTCCATGTGTTTACACAAGAACATCCAGCATCTCTTCTTGGTGGCCTCTTCTACTTCTAACTCTTTAGACTTGTTCCTTTTATTGTTCATTTAGTGTTCCTTTAGTGTCCTTTACTGTTCCATTAGTGTCCTTTACTGTTCCTGTACTGTTCCTTTACTGTTTCTTTACTGTTTCTTTACTGTTCCTTTAGTGTCCTTTACTGTTTCTTTACTGTTTCTTTACTGTTCCTTTCACCTGTTTAAGACCTGTAACAATTCTTCCTGTTCATCTGCATGTGTCCTTAAAAGGGCAGTGTTCACAATCTGTTGTAGTTCACAGCTAGACTGCATAATCAGCACTTTCCAATCCAACAGATTTCATTTCAGCTAAAGCCTCCCTTTACCACATGTGTATTAGAGGGCAGGGGGTCTATTCTAAAACGGGCGCTAGAAGCTGTGTGAGTGACCCGACCACTGTCTCTCATCCGTCAAAAACCTGTAACCCACCTAAGACCCTAGAATTCACACATCTCTTTCACCTTGCAACTTGTCCAGCACTGTCTCACCTGTCTGACTCTTGCAACTTGTCCAGCACTGTCTCACCTGTCTGACACTTGCAACTTGTCCAGCACTGTGTCTCACCTGTCTGACACTTGCAACCTGCCCAGCACTTTGTCTCACCTGTCTGACACTTGCAACCTGCCTAGCACTGTGTCTCACCTGTCTGACTCTTGCCACCCACCCAGCACTGACTCACCTGTCTGACACTTGCAACCTGCCTAGCACTGTGTCTCACCTGGCTGACTCTTGCCACCCACCCAGCACTGACTCACCTGTCTGACACTTGCAACCCACCCAGCACTGACTCACCTGTCTGACACTTGCAACCCACCCAGCACTGACTCACCTGTCTGACACTTGCAACCCACCCAGCACTGACTCACCTGTCTGACACTTGCAACCTGCCTAGCACTGTGTCTCACCTCTCTGACTCTTGCAACCCAACCAGCACTGTCTCACCTGTCTGACACTTGCCACCCACCCAGCACTGACTCACCTGTCTGACACTTGCCACCCACCCAGCACTGTGTCTCACCTGTCTGACTCTTGCAACCCACCCAGCACTTTGTCTCACCTGTCTGACTCTTGCAACCTGCCTAACACTGTGTCTCACCTGTCTGACTCTTGCAACCCACCCAGCACTGTGTTTCACCTGTCTGACTCTTGCAACCCACCCAGCACTGTGTCTCACCTGTCTGACACTTGCCACCCACCCAGCACTGTGTCTCACCTGTCTGACACTTGCCACCCACCCAGCACTGTGTCTCACCTGTCTGACACTTGCCACCCACCCAGCACTGTGTCTCACCTGTCTGACACTTGCCACCCACCCAGCACTGTGTCTCACCTGTCTGACTCTTGCAACCCACCCAGCACTGTGTCTCACCTGTCTGACTCTTGCAACCCACCCAGCACTGTGTCTCACCTGTCTGACTCTTGCAACCCACCCAGCACTTTGTCTCACCTGTCTGACTCTTGCAACCCACCCAGCACTTTGTCTCACCTGTCTGACACTTGCCACCCACCCAGCACTGTGTCTCACCTGTCTGACTCTTGCAACCCACCCAGCACTTTGTCTCACCTGTCTGACTCTTGCAACCTGCCTAACACTGTGTCTCACCTGTCTGACTCTTGCAACCCACCCAGCACTGACTCACCTGTCTGACTCTTGCAACCCACCCAGCACTGACTCACCTGTCTGACACTTGCCACCCACCCAGCACTGTGTCTCACCTGTCTGACTCTTGCAACCCACCCAGCACTTTGTCTCACCTGTCTGACACTTGCCACCCACCCAGCACTGTGTCTCACCTGTCTGACTCTTGCAACCTGCCTAACACTGTGTCTCACCTGTCTGACTCTTGCAACCTGCCTAACACTGTGTCTCACCTGTCTGACTCTTGCAACCCACCCAGCACTGACTCACCTGTCTGACTCTTGCAACCCACCCAGCACTGTCTCACCTGTCTGACTTTTGCAACCCGCCCAGCACTGTGTCTCACCTGTCTGACACTTACAACCCACCCAGCACTGTGTCTCACCTGTCTGACTCTTGCAACCCACCCAGCACTGTGTCTCACCTGTCTGAAACTTGCAACCTGCCTAATATTGTGTCTCACTAGAGACTTGTAACACACACAGGCACCTCTTTTACCCTGCAACCTGTGCAGCACTGCATCCGGCCTGCCTATATCCGACCCATCATTGCATCCCAATTGAAACCTTGTAATCCACTAAGAAATTTGTTTCACCGTACAACCCACCTAGTATTGTCTCTCACCTGTCTGGTAATTACAACCCACCCAGCACTACCACTCACCTGTCAGAGATCATGTCACTGTCACTCACCTGTCACAGATCGTGTCACTGTCACTCACCTGTCAGAGATCATGTCACTGCCACTCACCTGTCAGAGATCGTGTCACTGCCACTCACCTGTCAGAGATTTTGTCATTGACACTCACCTGTCAGAGATCATGTCACTGCCACTCACCTGTCAGAGATCGTGTCACTGCCACTCACCTGTCAGAGATCGTGTCACTGCCACTCACCTGTCAGAGATTGTGTCACTGCCACTCACCTGTCAGAGATCGTGTCACTGCCAAACCAAAGAAGTTGTAGAAAGCGATGGATATCAGGTACAAGAGACAAAATATCAACAGAGCTGGATCGTTGCCCATCTGGACCAGGGCATCCAGGCTGTTCTCGTAGCTTCCATGAGCATCGCTGCCCGGGATGAAGTACATGGCCGGCAAGATCATCTGAAACATATTTAGATGACCAAATTAATTCAATCATATCAAGCTCAATCAATGACTGATAAGCTGGAATCAGATGGCAAAACAAATACAAGTGAAAACCACAACTATGGCAATGTTACCCAATGCAATCAATGAAATGAAATGCCAAGACTGTCTGTCATCCCTTTTCTTCTTCTTTTTCATTTGCATTCCGAGTCCTTGAGGTTCATTTCAGCTGTCAGCCATCTTTATTAGTAGCCACGGAGATGAGTGCGTTTGAGAATGGTTGCAGGAGTGACCAGAAGAGATTAAATTAGAAATTAGGTCTTTAATAAAGTAGGTACAAAACTAATTCTAAATTACATACAAAGACAGCAAATCAAATGATCTGCCCACTCAGAGAGAATGCCTTGTGGCGCCACCCCATACAAGGGAATGGACGCAGAGCACAAGGTAGACCAAGAACAAGCTGGAAAGATAACATCAGAAAAACTCTACAACAGCACTATGTGTCTATGGTAGAGAGTGGCACAAGGTAGACCAAGAACAAGCTGGAAAGATAACATCAGAAAAACTCTACAACAGCATGATGTGTCTATGGTAGAGAGGGGCACAAGGTAGACCAAGAACAAGCTGGAAAGATAACATCAGAAAAACTCTACAACAGCATGATGTGTCTATGGTAGAGAGGGGCACAAGGTAGACCAAGAACAAGCTGGAAAGATACCATCAGAAAAACTCTACAACAGCACAATGTGTCTATGGTAGAGAGGAGCACAAGGTAGACCAAGAACAATCTGGAAAGATACCATCAGAAAAACTCTACAACAGCACAATGTGTCTATGGTAGAGAAGGGCACAAGGTAGACCAAGAACAAGCTGGAAAGATACCATCAGAAAAACTCTACAACAGCACAATGTGTCTATGGTAGAGAGGGGCACAAGGTAGACCAAGAACAAGCTGGAAAGATACCATCAGAAAAACTCTACAACAGCATGATGTGTCTATGGTAGAGAGGGGCACAAGCAGAATCTTGAAGCTGTCCTGACACCCAAAGTGATAAAAATCAAGAAAATTAGAACATCACCTTCACCATCTTCTTGGTCTGTCTCCTGTTGTACTCCCACTGAACTTTTTTTGTGTACACAGTTTTTGTCTCTTTGTTATCTGGCTATCTCTCTGTACGCTCCAACCAATGCATTAAATTAGCTATCAGGATGCCAGTAATTGGTGGTGATTTCAACAAATGATAAATTTAAGTCTAGCTTTTCCTCTCCATTCTCCGCTGAAATAGCTCCACTGGGAGAATGTTAGACAGATGAAAATAATGCAGTTTTCTAAATTCTACAAAACAAAAAGTTGTTGTCAAGACAAACATCAGTAGAAAAACTGTCAGAATTTCAACAGAAAAATAAAAATACCTGCAAAGGTGGAAAATTCTTTTTCTTGAGAAACATTTCTTCGATGACCATTTGACTAGCACTGACCAGCTGGCCCGCCAAGATCAGAACAATACCTGAGTTAGAGATTAGAACAATACCTGAGTTAGAGATCAGAACAATACTTGAGTTAGAGAACAGAACAATACCTGAGTTAGAGATCAGAACAATACCTGAGTTAGAGAACAGAACAATACCTGAGTTGGAGATTAGAACAATACCTGAGTTAGAGAACAGAACAATACCTGAGTTAGAGAACAGAACAATACCTGAGTTAGAGATCAGAACAATACCTGAGTTAGAGAACAGAACAATACCTCAGTTAGAGAACAGAACAATACCTGAGTTAGAGAACAGAACAATACCTGAGTTAGAGAACAGAACAATACCTGAGTTAGAGAACAGAACAATACCTGAGTTAGAGATCAGAACAATACCTGAGTTAGAGAACAGAACAATACCTGAGTTAGAGAACAGAACAATATGTGAGTTAGAGAACAGAACAATACCTGAGTTAGAGAACAGAACAATACTTGAGTTAGAGAACAGAACAATACCTGAGTTAGAGAACAGAACAATACCTGAGTTAGAGAACAGAACAATACCTGAGTTAGAGATTAGAACAATACCTGAGTTAGAGATTACAACAATACTTGAGTTAGAGAACAGAACAATACCTGAGTTAGAGAACAGAACAATACTTGAGTTAGAGAACAGAATAATACCTGAGTTAGAGAACAGAACAATACTTGAGTTAGAGAACAGAACAATACCTGAGTTAGAGAACAGAACAATACCTGAGTTAGAGATTAGAACAATACTTGAGTTAGAGATTAGAACAATACCTGAGTTAGAGATTAGAACAATACCTCAGTTAGAGATTACAACAATACCTGAGTTAGAGAATAGAACAATACTTGAGTTAGAGATTAGAACAATACTTGAGTTAGAGATTAGAACAATACCTGAGTTAGAGATCAGAACAATACCTGAGTTAGAGATTACAACAATACCTGAGTTAGAGATAAGAACAATACTTGAGTTAGAGATTAGAACAATACTTGAGTTAGAGATTAGAACAATACCTGAGTTAGAGAACAGAACAATACCTCAGTTAGAGATCAGAACAATACCTCAGTTAGAGATTACAACAATACCTGAGTTAGAGATTAGAACAATACTTGAGTTAGAGGTTAGAACAATACCTGAGTTAGAGATTACAACAATATCTGAGTTAGAGATTAGAACAATACCTGAGTTAGAGATTAGAAGAATACCTCAGTTAGAGATTAGAACAATACCTGAGTTAGAGATTAGAACAATACCTGAGTTAGAGATTAGAACAATACCTCAGTTAGAGATTAGAACAATACCTGAGTTAGAGAACAGAACAATACCTGAGTTAGAGAACAGAACAATACCTGAGTTAGAGATTACAACAATACCTGAGTTAGAGAACACAACAATACTTGAGTTAGAGATTAGAACAATACCTGAGTTAGAGAACACAACAATACCTGAGTTAGAGATTTGAACAATACCTGAGTTAGAGAACAGAACAATACCTGAGTTAGAGAACAGAACAATACCTGAGTTAGAGATCAGAACAATACCTGAGTTAAAGAACAGAACAATACCTCAGTTAGAGATTACAACAATACCTGAGTTAGAGAACACAACAATACCTGAGTTAGAGAACAGAACAATACCTGAGTTAGAGAACAGAACAATACCTGAGTTAGAGATTACAACAATACCTGAGTTAGAGATCACAACAATACTTGAGTTAGAGATTAGAACAATACTTGAGTTAGAGAACAGAACAATACCTCAGTTAGAGATTACAACAATACCTCTGTTAGAGATCACAACAATACCTGAGTTAGAGAACAGAACAATACCTGAGTTAGAGAACAGAACAATACCTGAGTTAGAGATTACAACAATATCTGAGTTAGAGAACAGAACAATACTTGAGTTAGAGATTAGAACAATACTTGAGTTAGAGAACAGAACAATACCTGAGTTAGAGATTAGAACAATACCTGAGTTAGAGAACAGAACAATACCTCAGTTAGAGATTACAACAATACCTGAGTTAGAGAACAGAACAATACCTGAGTTAGAGATTAGAACAATACTTGAGTTAGAGAACAGAACAATACCTGAGTTAGAGATTAGAACAATACCTAAGTTAGAGAACACAACAATACCTGAGTTAGAGATTAGAACAATACCTGAGTTAGAGAACAGAACAATACTTGACTTAGAGAACAGAACAATACCTGAGTTAGAGATTAGAACAATACCTGAGTTAGAGATTAGAACAATACCTGAGTTAGAGAACAGAACAATACCTGAGTTAGAGATTACAACAATACCTGAGTTAGAGAACACAACAATACTTGAGTTAGAGATTGGAACAATACCTGAGTTAGAGAACACAAAAATACCTGACTTAGAGATTAGAACAATACCTGAGTTAGAGAACAGAACAATACCTGAGTTAGAGAACAGAACAATACCTGAGTTAGAGATCAGAACAATACCTGAGTTAGAGATTAGAACAATACCTGAGTTAGAGAACAGAACAATACCTCAGTTAGAGATTACAACAATACCTGAGTTAGAGAACAGAACAATACTTGAGTTAGAGATTAGAACAATACTTGAGTTAGAGAAAAGAACAATACCTGAGTTAGAGATTAGAACAATACCTGAGTTAGAGAACAGAACAATACCTCAGTTAGAGATTACAACAATACCTGAGTTAGAGAACAGAACAATACCTGAGTTAGAGATTAGAACAATACTTGAGTTAGAGAACAGAACAATACCTGAGTTAGAGATTAGAACAATACCTGAGTTAGAGAACACAACAATACCTGAGTTAGAGATTAGAACAATACCTGAGTTAGAGAACAGAACAATACTTGAGTTAGAGAACAGAACAATGCCTGAGTTAGAGATTAGAACAATACCTGAGTTAGAGATTAGAACAATACCTGAGTTAGAGATTAGAACAATACTTGAGTTAGAGATTAGAACAATACTTGAGTTAGAGATTAGAACAATACCTGAGTTAGAGATTAGAACAATACCTGAGTTAGAGATTACAACAATACCTGAGTTAGAGAACAGAACAATACCTAAGTTAGAGAACAGAACAATACCTGAGTTAGAGATTAGAACAATACCTGAGTTAGAGATCAGAACAATACTTGAGTTAGAGATTAGAACAATACCTGAGTTAGAGATTAGAACAATACCTGGGTTAGAGATTACAACAATACCTGAGTTAGAGATCAGAACAATACCTGAGTTAGAGAACAGAACAATACCTGAGTTAGAGAACAGAACAATACCCGAGTTAGAGATTACAACAATACCTGAGTTAGAGAACAGAACAATACTTGAGTTAGAGAACAGAACAATACCTGAGTTAGAGATTACAACAATACCTGAGTTAGAGATCAGAACAATACTTGAGTTAGAGAACAGAACAATACCTGAGTTAGAGATTACAACAATACCTGAGTTAGAGAACAGAACAATTCCTGAGTTAGAGAACAGAACAATACCTGAGTTAGAGATTACAACAATACTTGAGTTAGAGAACAGAACAATACCTGAGTTAGAGAACAGAACAATACCTGAGTTAGAGACCAGAACAATACCTGAGTTAGAGATCAGAACAATACCTGAGTTAGAGATCAGAACAATACCTGAGTTAGAGATCAGAACAATACCTGAGTTAGAGATCAGAACAATACCTGAGTTAGAGATCAGAACAATACCTGAGTTAGAGATCAGAACAATACCTGAGTTAGAGATCAGAACAATACCTGAGTTAGAGATTTGAACAATACCTGAGTTAGAGATCAGAACAATACCTGAGTTAGAGATTTGAACAATACCTGAGTTAGAGATCAGAACAATACCTGAGTTAGAGATCAGAACAATACCTGAGTTAGAGATCAGAACAATACCTGAGTTAGAGATCAGAACAATACCTGAGTTAGAGATTACAACAATACCTGAGTTAGAGATTACAACAATACCTGAGTTAGAGATTAGAACAATACCTGAGTTAGAGAACAGAACAATACCTGAGTTAGAGAACACAACAATACCTGAATTAGAGATCAGAACAATACCTGAGTTAGAGATAAAGACATAAAATCTTAACACTGGGTCACTCAGAATGACTGGCACGATTTTAAACTGTTGTTATTATAACAAAAAATATTAAATGAGATATAAACAGGTGACACCTTAAAATGTTGATAACAGTTGAAAGTTTGAGATTTACCCGAGTACACTTTGACTGGGGTGCTACTTGGTATTCAATCTCCTGCCATGACATCTGGATCGTGTCCACAGTTCTAGGTGCTAAATCTTCCGATCTTCTCATCCACCCTTTCATCAAGGTGCTAAATGTTCCCAATCTCAGCCACCCTCTCTTCAAGGTGCTAAATGTTCCTTATCTTTTCAGCCACCCTTTTTTCATGGTGCTAAACGTTCCCAATCATCTCAGCCACCCTCTTTTCAAGGTGCTAAATGTTCCTTATCCTTTCATCCACCCTCTCTTCAATGTGCTAAATGTTCCGATCTTCTCAGTGACCCTCTCTTCAAGGTGCTAAATGTTCCGATCTTCTCATCCACCCTCTCTTCAAGGTGCTTAATGTTTCTGATCTTTTCAGCCACCCTCTCTTCAAGTTGCTAAATGTTCCTTATCTTCTCAGCCACCCTCTCTTCAACGTGCTAACTGTTCCTTATCTTCTCATCCACCCTCTCTTCAAGGTGCTAACTGTTCCTTATCTTCTCATCCACCCTCTCTTCAAGGTGCTAAATGTTCTTTTTCTCAGCAACCCTCTCTTCAAGGTGCTAAATGTTCCTTATCTTCTCATCCACCCTCTCTTCAAGTTGCTAAATGTTCCTTATCTTCTCATCCACCCTCTCTTCAAGGTGCTAACTGTTTCTTATCTTCTCATCCACCCTCTCTTCAAGTTGCTAAATGTTCATTATCTTCTCATCCACCCTCTCTTCAAGTTGCTTAAATGTTCCTTATTTTCTC